GTCGTTCTATCTGTTGTATTCTATTGTCGTTCTATCTGTTGTATTCTATTGTCGTTCTATCTGTTGTATTCTATTGTCGTTCTATCTGTTGTATTATGTGATTTATTGTTGTTGTTGTTGTTTTTTTATACTTTACACCAACTGCTTGCTACGTAGGCTCGCCTGTTACGACGGCATTCAGACGGTTTGAACGGGTTCGTCCTTTTCAAACGCGCAAGCACTGGCGTTTGTCCTCTAAGCACCATGCTTGTACGAGGAAAAAGTTACCGCCGGTAGCACCAATATTTCATTTTACAGCAGTTTGTTTCATTTTCAGAAATTCATTAGAACCAAGCTACTGTCTTCAGCCTTCTTTGCTGTAGGATTCGGTTTGATTAGTCCAAGATTTAATATTACACTTAATGGAGGTGAGAGAATAAATGTTAAGTAATTTAAGTAATGCGTCCTATTGGATGAATTAATATTGTAGAGGAAGAGGTAGAAGAGGTAGTTTTAAGGCCGGTTTAGACGTACGATTTTCGCCTACAACTATCATATACAACACGCTCGCGTCTGTCGTAGGCGAGTTGTAGGCTTGATTTACACACTACGACTCGAGTTGTAGGATGGCGCGAGCGTGTTGTATACAATAGTTGTAGGCGAAAATCGTACCGTCTAAACCGGCCTTTGTGGGTTTCTAACTTGAAATAGACCCCTGGCATCTGACGTCAAAGGAGCTGAATTTGGAGAACAAAACAAAGAATTACAATCTCATAAGAATGAATAAGCTTAGATGTTTTGCCCTCCAAATTTAGGTGCATTCCCAAGGGCTGCAAGGGGTCTATTAGTTGGTTSGTTTAAACATTAAAAAAATGGAAATTACTAATATGCCGTCCTAGATTCTGGTGCACATAGTACAAATGTTCTAGATTATAAACGTCTTATAAGGGTTCAGATAACAGGTAATATCGTTCAAATGACCCTTTAGAGTTTACAAATGCACGTTTTTATGTTTTAGATCCAGATTTTATAGGCAGAACTTCATTCCTTAGACGAATTTGGTATGCTTGGGTCAGTATTGCTGCGTTAAGATTCAAGTATTACCTGGCATTTGCGTTAGGTAAGTTGGGTGTTCCTTGGGTGCGGCCATCTTGGATCGTAAGGCATCATGGGGCATCCAGGATACAAATAATAATAATAATGATAATAATAATAATAAT